GTGCTCTTCACGCTGGAACAGTGGCTCTTCGTCTTCCACGGACAGGGACCCAGAATCACGGTAGATGGTTGGGAAGCGAATCCTCTTGGCTGGCTGAGTGTTTTGGTACAGAGGCCGTGTAGTGACAGAGGTCAGGAGCAAGAAACACATGGCCAGAACATCCCATAACTTCATCTTAGACTCAGTTCCTATGATGAAAGCTGCAAAATAAACAAGAAATCAGTATATGTTGCTGTACTTAAATTTTGAGGCCTAGCAAATTATAAAAACATCTACAGTCTCCCAGAAAGGCGACCAACGCTTTCCTAAAAAGGAGAAAAAAGTCCACATATGAAACAATGCCGTGGCTAGACTTGCCGTAGCTCATTCTGTATTAATAACTGCCAACAGGTCAAAAGGGTTTGATCCCAACTCCTCTTTTGTGTGTGCTGTGAGCATAAAAACCTCACCAGAAAATTGTACAACAGCAGACAGGCAACCTATCTACACTACAAAAAAAGAATTTTGCTCTTTTTATGGTTATTCAATTGTAATCAAGCTTATTTGTAAATGTAAAGAGTTTAAATTCCAATAACAATCCTACCTTTTGGTAAAAATTTCACTGAAAATACTGGTTCCGCCAACTGTTAATCTAATTTGGAGTGTCCAGCAGAGGGATGACTGATGTGTTCATATGGGTTGTATTATAAATGAATATATTCTCTTAGCAGGGGTCAAGAACTGTCCCTCCAAACACTGGACATCAACGGACATCTTTTTGTGTCGTATTTTAGCTAGAAGAAACATGTTGAAAACGGCACCTTTTCATCCAGTGTATCATTTCTAAACTAAGTAAGGCTTACTTAGCACTATTTGGTCAATCCAAACTACTTTTTGACAACATTCAGATGCTTTTACATTATTTAAACCAGATGGCTGCTGTCGTTTTTATTAATTTTCAACACAATGTTGGTCATTTGGATTATAAGACTTGTGACTGAGAACGTTTTTATCAAGATTGAACTAGTTTAGCTATAGAGCTAATGCTAAAGTCAACTTTTCTTAGTTAGCTCCTAACCCTGAGGCCATTGCTGCTAATGGGTGGCATAATTAGCTGTGGTTTTCAGGGAAAAGGTTTACATGCCACAATATTAGAATAGATTTCAAATGTGTGTGTCATGCTTGAGCTAGTTTAGCGACTGTGCTAATGTTAAAGTCAAATTTGCAACCAAGCTGTTGCCAACTCTGAGGAAGTCGTTACCAATGAATGGCACAACTTAGCCATGGTTATCAGGGAAAAGGTTTATATGCCATCTTGTTACGATACATTTCAAAAGCTTAATACTAATTTAGTAATATTTTATGCCTTAATTAGTTTAACAACAGTGAACACCAGTGAAACTTCCTGGCGAACTGAGCTGCTTCACCCTGAGACGGTTGGTGATCTTGGCTTTGATTTTCAGGGAAATCATTTATATGCCACCCTCTTAAATAATTGTAAAAGTGTATTACTATTTTACAACCCGTTTTATGCCTTCAACTCATCACAATTTAAATTTATTTGGTTGTTTGTTTTTGACATGGTAGGACAAACCAAATTAGCCAAATTGTCTTTTTAATTATTACATGGGTGGAATAAATATCAGTTTTTACTGAGGAATTCTGATTCATATCTACCTCGATAAAATGTAAAAACAGTTTGTTTTTATCAGTGAGATTATTATAGGGAATAAATATGTGATATCAGAAGTAGCTATCATACACAGATTAGTTATGCGCACATTTGTGCATAAGTGCGCGTAAATATGTAGGCGTTTTGGATGAAATGCGTTTTTTCTCCACGGATGTCAGATGAAGCGCAGAGGGTGCGCCTCACAAACACACGCAAATACGACTGCCTAACACGCACCGAAGCGTTTTGGCAACGATAGCCTAAATAATGGTGTGAGCTGGCCAGAGGGCGATACCCGGAGCTTACGTGACTCTGTCTAATGGCATGTTGAGTCTGCTGTAAACCTAAACAGATACGTATGGATAAATACTAGGCTTAAACGCAGTGTCTACATGTGTAATTCGTTTTTTTTTATTTGCGATTTTAAAGAAAAAACTTGAAGCTGCTCTTTGCTTTGCGCATTGATTTTTAGACTCTGAAACTAAGATGGATTATAGAGGTCGACTTACCTTAAATATGGCCCATGCAGACCTAAAATTATCTTGGCAGTTTATAGTAAAATCCAAACAGAAAGCGCAACTCCTGGAGTGTCCCCAGCTGACTTGAATGCGTAAATCATGTCAGAATCTCCAAAAAGAGAATTGCCTTAAACCAATATTAGTCCAAATAGTGAGGGGAAAGGCTCTTGTGTTGTGCCAGATATGTTCTCTGTATTCCGACCCAGTGCGCTAAACAAACCACGCGTCTCTGAAGACGGCGGACCAAAGTGCCTCTGCGCCTCACGGAGTACAGTTGCAGCCGCTGATTAATTGGATGCTACGTTTCCACGCTGGAAATCCGAGAGAGCTCCACCATCTCCGGCCGAGAGGAGTCCAATGAAGACATCAGCGTCTCCAACAAATGAGAAAAACACTGGAGGTGTGCTGTTACCGCTCGTCTGCCTCTTGGTAAAACAGTTCAGTAGCACTTAGTCCAGAATCTCCAGTATTTCTCACTAATCTCGCCATAGTAAACAACACATATTCGGATAAATGTTTTCCATTTTCTCCAAGTCAGGCTTGTGTTTACGCAGAAGTCTCCACACGCGTCGTCCTCATATTGGACTGAAGCAGGACAGATGTCTGCGCACAGCACCGCGCCAGGCGCAGAGGGGCTGTTTGGAAAGATTTATACTTCAGTGCTCTCTGACGTTGGGGGACTGGTGTCCGCCCCCTCTTTTATAGACCCATGCGAGCGCAGTGAGTAACAGAGGTCCGCATATCTCTCCAAACCACCTCTGGAGCCCTGTTTGGAGGAACGAAGTTTTCAGATGTCTTGAGGATTATGTCACACGTCCTGATGTCCTCGGATTAGATTTCAGTATGCGGAATGCGATTTGGAGATGTTCTGTTGCGGTGCATGTTTCTAACCTGATCTCCGCGCTCCGTGCGCCTGCAGTGTCAGGTTCCGCCTCATGGCTGCACACATCTCAAATGCAGGAGTGACACTTCACCTGCTATTTACTATACTCGTGCAGACGCGAAGGGCGCATTTAAGGAACATTTCGCTGCGCTTTGTTAAACATGCAGGAATTTGCAGTTTGTTTAACTGCAAACTCGATGCTCAGAAAAGTTTACTGGCGCATGTGGTCAGGGAGTAAGCGGATTCAGAGTTCACAACCAAGAACCCTTGAAAAGCAGCATCATCATCCTTCATGGCCGCCTCACTTCCAGGGACGCCCATAGAAAATTTTGATCGAGATTATTAGATAGGGGGAATTCATAATCTTGGTGTGGCACCGCAAAAAAAAAAAAAAAAAAAATCTCAATTCTTCTTTGGGATGTTTTACCTAAGAACCTATATATTGGTGTTTTCAAGTACCTATATACCAAAAATGAGCTGTTTTGATGTTAGAAGCTGCATTTTTGCCCCATCCAAAAAAAAATAATTAAAAAAAAGCTTATGTAGCTTATGAATCTATATTAAAATATAAAGATATTAAATATTTAGACTGGTGAATTTGATACTTATATTTATCTCAGTGAATATAAAATTCAGATCTATTTTTTTGTTTATAATGTTTCTGATACAATACATTGCAAAATAATGTTTTTTTTCTACAAAATGAATTTCAAGGAGGGAAAGGTTGTGTGTTTATACGTGTACAGTGCAGCAAAAGGAGGTGCTCTCCCAGGGTGCCATTATGTAAGAACCATCAATACTCACTTCTAGTGGTGGCCACTGCTCTCCCTGGCCCCCACTGCTGGCGCCACTGCAGCTTATTTATCTCCTGCAAATGTAAATTCCGCAAGTTACTCAGGCTTTTTAGAATTAAACTCGTTTGTGTTCCCGAGCCAGGGACCGGATCCAACCACGGCTCAACACTTGTGTGTCCAAGAAGCGCTCTGGTTTTAATTTTTAGATTCAAAGCACTGACAAAATAGAAAAAAAGGAAAGCTGTTGAATAAAAGGCTGGAAATCCTCGCCCTCACACCCTAATTCCACACTGACTTACCTGTTACTCAGCAGCATTAAAGCTCAGAAGTTTTTGCTCACAATCCCAAAATGTCTTGTTTATACATGTTTCTCTTTCAGGCGATTTAGCTGGGCCCTGCCCATCCCTACTGCATCTACAAAACAGTCTGCCAAGTGTTCATCATATGGATTCCTCCCTGTCAAGTTCTCACCTGGTCTTATTGTGTTAATTGAGAGCTGCTGGTTCATTTTAAGTGACAATACCCTCTGAATTTAGGTCATTTTAATGTTAACTCAACTCATACTTATGAATAATTTCATAATTCCTAATTGCTTTTATGCAATCATTATTGAATGCATTTGTAAAACTATTTACTCATTCAATGCTTTTTGTCTCCTTGAGTTTCACTTCTTAAGCCTCCTTTATAAAAGGACAATATGGTCATAAAAGGGCCACGACAAAAGATTATAGAGAAGCAGGAAGAGTATTTACACTTCCTATTTAAGTTTTTAGCTCTTAAGTGGAAATGCCTTTTGCTTCCAATTCTTACTTGTTTACAATCACTCAACACTACAGTTGAATTGAAAATGAATAGAGCATCAGTTTGTCTTTTTGTACGGGTGGAATATAACATTTTTGTTCCCCTGCCATGGCATGCTGGAATGCCTAAAGGCTCTGCACAACCCTAAGCAAGAATATGCAGGTGAAGAGACTGAATGAAAGAAAGCCAGCTTTTAACACTGTATAAACAATCTGGGACTGGGGAATGTAAAGTGAATTGGCATTTAGATAAATAAGACAAAAGACTGACTGCAGAGTTGCCAGTTTGGATTTTCACAAAATCAACTAAACTATGAAAAACAAAATTGCTTTAAATTGAAATGGCATGCGGACTACATGGTGGTGCAGTTGGTAGCACTGTTGCCTTGTAGCGAGAAGGTCCTGGGTTCGACTCCCGAGCTCTGCATGGAGTTCGTGTGTTCTCCCTGTGCATGCGTGGGTTCTCTCAAGGTGTTCCAGAGTCCAGAACCATGACTGTTAGGTCACTCTCAATGGCCCTTTGGTGTGAATGGGTGTGTGCGTGGTTGTTTTTCTCTGTGTCCCTACAATGGACTGTTGACCTGTCCCGGTTCAGGGTGTACCCCTCTTGCCCATAGACCGCTGGAGATAGGCACCACCTCCCCCTCGACCCTGTATGGAAGAAGCGGTTATAGAAAATGGATGGATGCAATGTCATACATTAGGTCTCTTATTTGTCATCTATCTATATAACCCCAACACAATAGATCACTCTCTATTAACTGCATTACCTTGCAGAATTGAAGCATATATGAATCAGTTTCAAATAAAATGAAATAAATAAGCTTTATTTATAAAGTACATTTAAAACAACAGCTCTTCAATAGATACCCAGAAATATAACACCAAACCAGTTACAATGTTAAGGGAACATAATTAAAAGAAAAGACATAAAAAAGTTCAAACAGAGTAAAAGCTCAGTTTTAGGTAAAGATGTTTTAACTCAGCAAGTGCAAGGTTCTGTCGTATTCACTAACCTTAATAATTTGATTTAAAAAATCTGAATAAAGGGCCCCCATAAAATAAAATAAAGTGTTCAAAACTATGGCTACAATTATTTAATTAAAAAAATATTTAGAAAATGTAAGAACAAACCGTAAAAAATCAAAACAACCACAAAAAGCACCCCAACAAAAATGAAAAGCATTCATATGTCCTGTCAGATGGGGAGCAAAAAAAGCTGTCTAGTAATTTAAAATATATGTGTAAAAAGAGAGATTTGCTGCAATCATTTAACAAACAATTGTAAAAATAATAATACTGTAAAAGAAATTGCACTATTCTAGCAGTTCAAATGCCAGAAGGGCAATTAAACACCCAAAAATATCTCTGTAAAAAACGATCATTCTCCAAATAATTTATAAAACTGTAACACATGCGACAATTTCTAACAGGAAAAAAAAACAAAATTTTTTTATCAGCGGGAATGCCAGAAAAAGACTGTTAAATGTCAGAAAACAGTAGTTTGCATTAAATATTTACCAGAAAACATTCAGCCACAAACTGTCATAAAACTGTATTGTTCAGGCAGCTGGAATGCCAGAAAAAAGACAAAACAAAAATGTTAAATTACAAATATACCCAAAATTCAGAAAAAATGCGTGTACTTACAGATAATGTTACTGTATGGTGTATAAACATAAGGCGCATTGACATTCACAGATTTTACAGAAACCTATCACACATCACAGCATTTAGGACTTTCTGTTTGACAGACTCTCCCCAGAGACATGCAGACAGGAGCTGTATTGTTGATAGGATCTGCAGACGCGTCTCCAGAAAAAAAAAAAGTCCTCTGTGGCCCTCGTCTGCCTCTTCCAGACAGAGCTGTGAAGATAATGGCAACCAAAAATGGATTAATCTTCGAATTCCTCCCTTTATGTGGGAGTACAGCACACTCTGTGGGTGTCAGAAATCCCATGAGCTGAAAGACTTTGGTGACTACTATATTAATTTGTTAGGAGGAGAAACATGAGTAAGACGGACGAATCACCACCACATAGGGTATGATGAAGAGGCCCGTCACTTCATCTGAACAACTCTCTTTTATTTTGTAGTGCCACTGATTGGACAACAACCCATATTTTTGAATTCATTCCTCCACCGAGTTCTGACAGGCCCTCAGATGAAAACATCAAGGAGTTCCCAGAGTTTCTGTGAGCATTTAACAGTACTCACAGAAATGATCCATTTCACTGCATCTGGTTCTGTTTACTATCAGGCTGTAAAAAGCTAAGCTAAAACAAATGCTCGACACTGCTAATTGATTTTTATTTTCCAACAACTTCATCTCAACTTAAATTGAAAATATTTTGCCTAAGATATTGTCTTAAAGGATTTAAAACAATAAAAAATACAGTTGTCGTGTTCTGCCTCTTACTTTAATGACAAATTGCTTCATATTACATGTGACCGAAGTGGGGTACTCTGTATTTATGGCTCATTCTAGTTTTATATCTTTTGGAGGAATAAACAGTAATAACACAAGATTCATGCCTGCATGCAGTAAATTTAACGGACTGAAAGAATTTAGTCAAAGACAACAGAAAGACAAAACACTGAAATTCTTGTTCGTCCAAGTTACCACCAACTGAGAAGGATTTTGATTTAAGTTATTGCAGTCCAGCTGCTTTCTCCATGGCCTCAGAGGGCTCACTATAATAAAAATGCACAAAGTTTTGGTTTATACTCCTGTCCTGCAGTTTAACTGGGAAAAAGAAGAGTGTCTGTGCAACTGGTTAGTGTTGCATTTGGTAATAAAGGTGAAATAAAATTAAATGCATTTCTTAAATTTAATGAGCTTGAATAATTTCCAGCATATGCAACAGAGTCTAGTTGGCACAGTATTCTTTCTTTATTGAATTTCTGATCTTCATCAAAGTGATTTAAATGCCACACAGAACTATATTAATAAAGGCATAATCGAGGGACGTGACGTCGCCCGGTACAGCGGAGCCGGGGTCCCACCCTGGAGCCAGGCCTGGGGTCGGGACTCGCCGGAGAGCACCTGGTTGGCCGGGTAGCTCCTCGCGGGACCTGGCTGGGCCAAGCCCGAACGAGAGACAAGAGGCCATCCCCCAGTGGGCCCACCACCTACAGGGGGAACCGTGAGGGACCGGTGCAAAGAGGATCGGGTGACAGACGAGGGTGGAGACCTCAGTGGCCCGATCCCCGGATGCTTAGGCTGGCTCTAGGGACGTGGAATGTTACCTCACTGGGGGGGAAGGAGCCTGAGCTTGTGCGGGAGGTTGAGAGATATCGAGTAGAAATAGTTGGGCTCGCCGCCACGCACAGCTTGGGCTCTGGAACCCATCTCCTTGAGAGGGGCTGGACTCTCTTCTACTCTGGAGTGGCCCATGGGGAGAGGCTGGGGTGGGTTTGCTTGTTGCCCCCCAGCTCAGCCGTCTCGTGTTGGGGTTTACCCCAGTGGATGAGAGGGTCGCATCCCTGCGCCTTCAGGTCAGGGATAGGTCTCTGACTGTCGTTTCGGCCTACGGGCCGAGCGGTAGTGCGGAGTACCCGGCCTTCTTGGTGTCCCTGTCAGGGGTGCTGGATAGTGCCCCTCCCGGGGACTCCATTATTCTGCTGGGGGACTTCAACGCCCACGTGGGAAACGACAGTGACACCTGGAGAGGCAGGATCGGGAGGAATGGCCTCCCTGATCTGAATCCGAGTGGTGTTTTGTTATTGGACTTCTGTGCTAGTCACGGATTGTCCATAATTAACACCATGTTCAAGCATAAGGGTGTCCATCAGTGCACTTGGCACCAGGACACCCTAGGCAGGAGGTCAATGATCGACTTTGTTGTCGTATCATCAGACCTTCGGCTGCATGTTTTGGACACTCGGGTGAAGAGAGGGGCTGAGCTGTCCACTGATCACCACTTGGTGGTGAGTTGGATCCTCAGTCCTGCCATCACGCATTCCCTGGTGGAAACAGAGGCTGGGGACTCGGGGTTGGACTCTTTCATCACCCAGGCTGAAGTCACCGAGGTGGTTAAAAAGCTCCGCGGTGGCAAGACTTCGGGGGTGGATGAGATCCGCCCTGAGTACCTCAAATCTCTGGATGTTGTGGGGCTGTCATGGTTGACACGCCTCTTCAACATTGCATGGCGGTCGGGGACAGTGCCTCTGGACTGGCAGACCGGGGTGGTGGTCCCCCTTCATAAGAAGGGGGACCGGAGGGTGTGTTCAAACTACAGGGGGATCACACTCCTCAGCCTCCCTGGTAAGGCCTACGCCGAGAGGAGAGTCCGGCCGATAGTCGAACCTCGGCTTCAGGAGGAGCAGTGTGGTTTTCATCCCAGCCGTGGAACACTGGACCAGCTCTATACCCTCTACAGGGTACTCAAGGGCTCATGGGAGTTTGCCCAACCGGTTCACATGTGTTTTGTGGACCTGGAGAAGGCATTCGACTATGTCCCTCGTGATGCCTTGTGGGGGGTGCTCCAGGAGTATGGAATCGGGGGCCCTTTATTAGGGGCCATCCAGTCCCTGTACGAGCGGAGCAGGAGTTTGGTCCGCATTGCCGGCACTAAGTCGGACCTGTTCCCGGTGCATGTTGGACTCCGGCAGGGCTGCCCTTTGTCACCGGTCCTGTTCATAACTTTTATGGACAGGATTTCTAGATGCAGCCAAGGGCCGGAGGGGGTCTGGTTTGGGGACCAGTGGATTTCGTCTTTTCTTTTTGCAGATGACGTGGTCCTGCTGGCCCCCTCTAGCCAAGACCTACAGCATGCGCTGGGGCGGTTCGCAGCCGAGTGTGAAGCGGCTGGGATGAAGATTAGCTCCTCCAAGTCCGAGGCCATGGTACTCAACCGGAAAAGGGTGGCTTGTCCTCTTCAGGTTGGAGGGGAGTTCCTGCCTCAAGTAGAGGAGTTCAAGTATCTCGGGGTCTTGTTCACGAGTGAGGGAAGAATGGAGCAGGAGATCGACAGACAGATCGGTGCGGCTGCCACAGTAATGGGGGCACTGTGCCGGTCCGTTGTGGTGAAGAGAGAGCTGAGCCGAAAAGCGAACCTCTCAATTTACCGGTCGGTCTACGTTCCTACCCTCACCTATGGCCATGAACTTTGGGTCATGACCGAAAGAACAAGATCCCGGATACAAGCGGCTGAAATGAACTGAAACTTTTTAATTATCCAATTGAGTAAAAAGAAAAACAAAAATAATTTGAAACAAAGAAAAGGAGAGAACATTTCTCCTAGCTCATTAAAAGGTTAACTGGTGGCTCTCAGAAGTTTAAAGACAGGGTTTAATGACTTAATTTCTTGATTTGAAATTCTGATGCTATTAATAATTTGAGGGGGAAACATTTGAGCAGAAAAAGGAGCAATTACAATTTTCAAACCACCGTGATACATCTGTTTCTCACATCAGAATTCCAGGG